TTATAATCTATAGGGCAAACCCATGAACTGTTTGTGAGGTGGAAGTGAAACTCAGACTCCTGACCTGGCGTTTTCTTCATACCCATATACCCCCAAACAGACACACAATCAGCATGAGAATATCCTACCCAACTGTAAATTTTTGATGTGATTTAAAATTATTAACCTTCAAAAGTTTGCTATTCAAATAATGTAAAACAATCTGTATTTTCATTAAGAGGGTTGTGGTTTCTTTTGGTGTGGTTTTTTTTTTTTTTTGTTTGTTTGTTTGTTTGTTTTTTTTTAATTGTTATGGTTGAAAAGAACCTTTAAGACCAAGCCCAACCATTACCTTTCTCTACCAGGCCACTTCTACAACATACCCCTTTTTAATACAGCTTTTAAATACATCAAGGGATGGTGATTCAACCACTTCCAGGGGAAGCCTGTTCCAGTCCTTGATAACCCTTTCTGTGTAAAAGTTCTTCCTAATGTCTAACCTGAACCTCCCCTGGCATAACTTAACACCATTACCTTTTGTCCTGTCTGTTGTGGCTTGTAAGAAGAGGCAAACACCCACCTCCCTAAAACCTCCTTTCAGGTAGTTGTAGAGTGATAAAGTCTCCCCCCCAGCCTTCTGTTCTTTAGGCTAAACAACCCCAGTTCTCTCAGCTGCTCCTCTTAAGACTTATCCTCAAGACCCTTCACCAGCCTTGTTCTCTGCACCCTTTCCAGAAAAAAAAAAAAAAGTCCTTTTTTAACTGTGGTGCCCAAAACTGAACACAGAACTCAAGATGTGGCCTCACCATTGCTGAGCACAGTGGGACAATCACTTCTCTAGTCCTGCTGACTACACTATGCCTAATACAAACCAGAATGCCATTGGCCTTTTGGCCACGGGGGCACACTGCTGGCTCATGTTCAGCCAGCTGACAATCAACACCCCCAGGTCCCTTTCTGCTGAGCAGCTTTCCAGCCACTCCTCCCCAGGTCTAGAGCTGTGCATGGGGTTGCTGTGTCTCAAGTGCACAACTCATCGCTGGGCCTTGTTAAAAGTCATACAATTGACCATGGCCCATCTGTCCAGGTCCTTCTGAAGGGCCTCCCTACCCTCAAGCAGATCAACATAGCCACCTAACTTGGTGTCATCTTCAAGCTTACTGAGGGTGCTCTCAATCTCTGCATCAAGTAAAGATGTTAAAGAGGAGTGGTCCCAGCACTGAGCCCTGGGGAACACCACAGTATTTTGATGAGAATGCTGTAGGGCACAGTATCAAAGGCTTTACTGAAGTAGAGATAAACAACATCCACAGCCTTTCCCTCATCCACCAAGTGGGTCACCTTGTCAGAAACGGAGATGAAGTTTGTTAAGCAGGACCTGCCCTTCATGAACCCATGCTGACTGGGCCTGATGGCCTGGATGCCCTGTAAATATTGTGTTATGGTGCTTAAGACGATCTGCTCCATGACCTTCCCTGGCACTGAGGTTAGACTGACAGGTCTGTAGTTCCCTGGATCCTCTTCCTGCCCTTCTTGTAAATGGACATCACATTAGCCAGTCTCCAGTCCATTGGGACCTCCTCAGTTAGTCAGGACTTCTGGTAAATCACGAGGAATGGCTTAGTAAACACATCAGCCAACTCCTTCAGCACACTTGGATGTAACCCGTCTGGCCCCATAGACTTGTGTATGTCTAGGTGGTGCAGCAGGTCACTAACCATCTCCTCTTGTATTATGGTGAAGTGCTGGGATCTAAACCCCAAGCCCTGAATCAAGGTTGACGTATGGATGATGCCCATGACCAGGCAGGAGAGATCTTCCTCTTGGTTTTCTTTCAAGACTTGGCCAGCCTTGGGTGAAAAACAATTAGGAAATTAACACCAGGTGCCCTGCCTTTAAAGCTAACATTAAGTGTCCCACCTCTAAAGTTAATAGTATAAAAGCTGTATAATGTGTTTAATATGTAGTGGGTGTATTGTGTAGGGTTTTCCTGCTATTGAAAGGGCTCCTTGACTGTCCATGGCAAATAGAGTTTCCAGCAATGGTGGGACAGACATTTGAGAGTGGGACAGGATGAGAAGTCCTGTGTATAATGGTACTTTTCTTTGGCAGTTACTATAGTACTGCTTCCTTTGTTGCATCATGCACCATGAGTAAATATATTGATATGTTTATCCCTCCTGTTGTTAATCACATAATATCCTTCCTGTATTCTTTGGAGTGGGATGGTACAACCTTTCCTGTATATATCCTGCTAATGGCAATATCCTTCCTACTGGGACATGCAGTCAGCAAAAGAAAATCGGTGTCATGGAGAGCCCTGTCCAAAATTCCTGACTTGGGACACCCTCTGTATAGTTTGCTGGCTCTTGAATGGGCCAGGATTGCTGGACCATGCGAACAATGGGGCAGGCAATTGGCAGATGCTGAACCTTGGGATGTATTAAATACTCTTCAGAAATTATGGTATGGAAAAGGAGAGGATGCTGTCAGCTCTGGAAGGTGGGGATGTATTTTGCTGACTGCATATAGGAAGCAGCGTCAACTGAAAGAACAATTATCAGAACACTCCCATAGGGAGCACCAGCCAAATGACCTACAGAATTAGGTTGTAACATTACAGTGCTTAAATAAGCTGCTGGCTGATAAGCCGGGTATTTGCAAGACTATACCTGAAAAAGCTGCAGTGAGAGTTGCCCACTATAACTATATGAATAGGAGGGGGCAAGTTACTCAGAGAAAGGTTCACTCAGCAATGATATAGGAAGGTGAAGATGTCTGGTACTCTGCAGATTCTGGTGAAGATGATTCCTCAGGTGAGTCTGTGGATGTAAGACCAGTGTACAGGCAAAAGTTAGAATTAGATGAGAACAGGTGCCTGGTGAGAAAAGATGCACTGAAAGCTTATACACAACACGAGGTAAATGACATCACTGAGAGATTTAAACGACGGCCAGGAGAGCCCCTGCTTTCATGGATGGTGTGCCTATATGATCAGGGAGCATCAGGGGTTATTCTTGAATAGGCAGACTCCAGAAAATTTGTAATGCTGAGTTACAATACTTTTGTGCAAGAAGCATTTCAAAATGACAATCAAATGACTAATTTGATTTAACTGGAGAATGCCTGGCCAGGATCAAGCTGGCTGTGGTGCACTCTGTGGGCTGGAATACAATGACTGAAGGCAGAAGGGATGAAACTAGTTTTTTTTTGTTGTCTGAGCTGATTCTTTGGTGCAACTTGGATTATCTGCCTCTATGAGAAATGCCATACCTAAAACTGCTCCACCAGCATATAAACATAAAATGATGATACTCCTATTTAGCAAGATGGGGAACTTCCTTTAGAGAAGTAATTGATAAAATACAACAGCTGGGGGATCTTGGAGCATGGGGCCACTGGGAGAGTGAAGAAAATCGAGACACCAAGTATCAGTTGGGCCCCTGGGAGACAACAGGAGATTGAGAGCAGGACAGGACAAGAGTTATGTATGTAACTATGCTTTTCTTTGACAGTTACGGTGGTGATTTCTGTGTGGTTGGAGTTGGACTGTTGACCTCATTTCTAGCTCAGCTTACACCTTCCTCTGCTACATTATAGACCATGAGTGAATATATTGATTTGTTTATCCCTCCTAATCACATCATAATTTTCCTCTATTCTTTGAAGCGGGAAGTCTGGCCTGTATGTTTACTGCTAATGGCCTTATCTCTCATAATGGGCCATGCAGTCAGCAAAAGATATGGAGGCCACCTCTTGCTCCCCATCCCTGCTTTCTAGCTCAAGGGATTGGCTCAAGGGCATCTGGTAAGGTGGGGCAGACACTGGGCAGACATGCCTGCAGTGACTGTTGCACTGGGCAGGAGCTTCTTGGCATTGTCCTCTGTCCTCCAAGTCACCACATGCTATTAGGCAGAGAGAGGAGTGGGAGTTCTCTGTAGCAGGTGCCCTGTCTACCTGCTGGGTGTCTGTCATTGGAGTCAGGGTATGATTCCAAGTGTCTCTGTCTCTCATTCCCTGGTGGCCCTCAACCTGCTTACCTCCTCCCTTTTGTCCATTGCCAAGTGAAGCAGCTCTACCTGGGCACACCATCCGCAGGCATGCTCACCGCTGCCATCCAACACCGGTGTAAGAGCTGGGCACACCCTGCAGCCCAGCACCTGGGTGGCAGCATGTTCCCATGAGTGTTCTGTCTGAGAAGCTACATGAGATCTTGTATGTGAAGGACAGAGGGATGCCATGGTCTTCTGCTGAATGGTTACCATTGTTCTCTGGCTGACTTTACAGGATCTCAGAGCCCTGCCGCACCCTGTTAGCTGGTTTGCTTGCCTGCTCAGGGAGCTTGCCCTTGCCCTGCTGCTCCCAGGTAACACCCTGTGTGACGCCCACTTGCTGCGGGTTTGCTCAGTGTGCAGCAACTTTCATTTTCTTTCAGGTCTTTCAATCTGGACCATCATCTGATAATGTTCACATGAAAGAATTTTTTTTAGAAGGGAAGGGGAAAGAGGACTTTTAAGATTTCACAAAAACTTTTGTTCAGGTTTTCAAAAGTCATGTCTGGCTCTGTCATCCTTTACACAGCCCAGACAGCACAAAGCACTAATACTGCTGTATGGCAAACGTGCCTCAGGTATGATGCTAGTGTAGCCCATTGGCCCATCTTGCCACACTCAGCCACACAAAGGTGATTTCAACTCAGCTTTGGGAGACCAACTTGAAAAAAATCCCCCTTATTATGAAGGGTTTCTCCTGCTCTTGTTTTTGCTCTTTCTCACCTTGAAAACAAACTCCAAACCAAAACCTTGATCCAAACTCAGGTGAAATCTGTTTCTCAGAGCCTGCCAATCTAGACCAACACAAATCCTACACAAAGTGACACTCTTTTGCAGAATAAAGCTTGTCTGTGCAGTGTGGAATAACATACGTAAGCATAGCTGGTGATGCCTCCTGCCTCCTCTGCTGTGGTCAACAGAAATGGAAACAATAGAAGATATTCTCATTCCTAGTAAGTCTGTGCTGAAGGAGGATTCTAAGTTGGCCTTGTGTCTCCTGTGACCCCAGGAGACATGATTAATGAAAAGAGGTGATTATCTGTCATTGTTACAACATGCTTTCCAGGCCAAAAAATTAACTCTACATTTTTTTTTTCAACCATGTCTAACTACTGAATTCTCAATAAGCAGCTAACATCTTCTTAGGATGAAGGGAATCTCTGCCTGTAGGGTGGGAGATACCAGTTTATAATTTCATTCATTTTGTCTCATTGTCATGAGACAATTCCACAAGAAAACTTTGGCACATGGTGAAGTTCTGGTTTTTGTTCTTCAAGAACTGATGAAGGTGATGTGTCATCTCTGATGGCTATTTGTTGAACAAAAACAGTGAAGTGGAAATAATTTTTTTCTCATAAAAAATAAGTTTGCATGCTATGCTGAAGTCATTATTCAAATTTACAGTTGAAAGTGATTATCTCACTGCCTCAGACACAAAAATTCCTGCAAGCATTTCAGTTCAAGTGATTCAGAGGAACCGATGTATAAATAGTCCCATCACTGTTTTTTGACGTAGGAAGGCAATGGCCATTTCTTGTGTGGAAATTATGAGCAGATGAGGAGGTCTCTGTTCTGTAAATCTGCGCTTGCATTTCACAGCAACCAAACTTGCTCAACAGAATGAAGAAATCCCTGCGGAAAGTCTTTGTGAAAATGGCATAGAGGAAAGGGTTAGCACAGGAATTGATGGGGTAAAACAAAACCAGAAGGATCTTGGATTTGGACACTGTGATGAGAGGAACCTTGAGTGAGGCTGATATTGCAAAAAAAGATATTGGTGCCATGCAGAGGAAGTCTGTGAAGATCAGTATGGCCATGCGCTTGGCAATCTTAGTGTCACTGTTTGAAGAGATGACATTAGGGTTTCTTACCGTAAAATAGATGCAGATGTAGCAGGCACATATAATCACAAATGCGAGTACATTCAACACCAAAAGAAATATAACATAAGCCTGAGAAAATGGTGTTTCTATATCCATGGGCAAACAGATGCTGACCTTCATGTAGCTGCTGACTCCAAATATGGGAAGAAGTGCCACCGTGAAGGCAAACATCCAGCCAAAAATCATGATAATCACAGCATGACGAAATCGAACCTTGCGGTCCAGTTGCATGGCGTAGGTGATGGTGTGCCACCTTTCCAGAGTTATCACAGTCAGCGTGTAGACCGAGAGTTCACTTGCAAACACTGTAAAAAATCCTGCAGCATTGCATCCTGCCCCAGTTTGCCAGTCTATGGCGTAGTTGTAATACTGGCTTTTGGTCTGGATATCTACAGATGCAATAAACAGCAAGTAGATGCCTATGCAGAGGTCTGCAAATGCGAGATTGCACATTAGAAACCGAGGTACGGTGAGTTTGTACTGACTGCTTATTAAAATAATGAGGACAACAATGTTCCCAGTGATAGCTAAAATGCTGATAAACCATATTAGGACTCTCAGAATGTTGTATCCCATGATATCTTCACATGGATTGAAAGCATCTGGTTTAGGTGAGCAAGCTACATTAACTACTTCATTGCATAAACCATAGTCAAATTCGTTCTCTGCTGGGTCAAATCCTATGCCATAATTGGAAATATAGTCTTCAGCTGCAGATCGTCTGTGCAGTTTTTTGCCAGGCTGCTCATCAAGGTCTTGCTTGGCCTGATATATGCTACATATCGGATGTAATTCAGTGCTGAAATTGTAAAAAAAGTAGAGTTGGAAACTAAGAGACGTAACATGAGGCATACAAACCCATGAAATTATCCATTTTCTATTAACAGCTCTTTTTTTTTCTGGTTAGCTGATTGTATAGACTACCCTGGAGCTTGAAATGAATAGTCTGACTGTTCCTTATTTATAATATATTACGTAAACTGTAAATTATTTGGAAACATCATAAAATGTAAGGGGAAGGAAAGCCTAATGTTTGCCATTCATTTCGTGTATCTCATGTCATATTGGTAGCTGGCCAGTAACACAAATAAATAGCATAGATAAATTCATGCTAGCTTCCAGAAGCCAGATTCCAACACAGATACAAACACAAGACATGGTACAACATTTTGCTTAAAAACTGTATTTCAAAGAAAATGGATTAGAAATCAAATTAAGTGAAGCAAAGCCGAGCCATATTGAAACAAACCAAACTCTACCAAACCAAACTAAACCACACCATTTCTACAGAAGGAATAGTTGTTTTTGTTTTTGTCAGAAAGTCTTTTTAAAACTTTATGACAATTTTCAGTAGCAAAGGTGAATGTAGGAAAAGAGTTTAAAGAAAAAAAAAGCCATGGAAGGTAAAACTAATATTTTTGATAGTTATCTGATTTGCTTTATTTCCTAGAGTATTAACTTTATGACTTTCTCCATGTCTAGACCAACAGGAGAAACAAATATTTTGGCTGAGATGATAGAAAGGTAAGCAGCTCCATCAAGCTAAGAAACAGCAAGGTGCCTCAAGAAGAAAAAAAGGGTTAGACTCCAACAACTTCTTCTCCTAGGCTGCCTTTGGAGTTTGCTATCCCAGAAATTTGCATCCATAACTTTGCATAAAATGGACCCAGACCTCATCTGAGTCAGAGGAAAAAAACAGCTGACAATGTGTTTCAAAACCAACACAGTTCAGCTCTGCCTGCTTTCATCTACATCCCAGATGGAAATTTAGGTGTGTTAATTTTTAGGACAGGGCCCCAGCATATCTTCCACCTTGACCTGAAGTATGCTTGAGAGAAGAGCTTTCTAGGCAAGCTAAGTTGAATTTTTAAAAAACTGGTAGCAACTTAAAAGGGAGAATTCTTTTTTGTAACCTGATTTTACACTTTGACTTCGTGCACTCAGCACATCTTCTAAAAATAGAGTTTAAAAGGTCTGCAAGAAAGGAAAACTAATGCAGGCCCAGCACCAGAAGGTGAGGGGCATTTCCTATGAGGTTCTGAACATCCTCTACTATTATCAATATTTTTTATCTTGCCTGTCAACGGAGGCAGAAAACTGATTTTCTGTGAGGTCAGCTATGCACTATGAAGGTCACAATAGCAATAACAAGGCATTACATTTTGCTCCCCTGTGTTCTGCTCGTGTAAGGATGAGTGAGGAGTCCAGTGTATTGATCAATATATCAACAATTCTCTAGCTGAAGAGGTATATATGCTTCCAAAAGAACAATAATAAGAAAGTCCCTCACTTTTGAATGTAACGGACACTCGAGGGCACAACAATTGGTTGTTCTTTGTAAATAAACTGAGAGAAGCAGGGAAGTGTTTCTATCCAATCATTTCTCAGCTATGACTTAAAAATAAACATTTTCTCAAATTATGGAGGCATGGCCTGGAGCTAAATCTATCCCCTCATAAGACTGTTATGCAAGGTCAATTAAATATTTCCGATTAGTAAAATTAATTAATTCTTGAATTATTTTACAGCCAGCATTTCCAAACAAAACCAGGGGCCCACAGAGTTAGCTGCTCTGTTTGTTCTGAGGATGGGCAATGAGGAGTCTCTTTGTTGGTTACCTGTACTGTGAGCAGATAAGATGGGCAGTTGCAAATTCCCAGGGGGAAGAAGAACCATCCTCTGGCACTGACTGCTTGCCTATTATTTGCCATGGAAAGTTTGCCCCTTGGGCTTTGCAGTGTATTCAAAGCAACAGGCTAAAATCTTTTTTTTTTTTGCAAGGTACAGGTCCTTGCTTTCTGTTGAGAGGATAGGTATTGTAGCACATTTCATTTATTCAGCCTGTTTGTAACCTTCTGCTACTGTTTAACATTGTTTTGCCCAAGTTAACCTTTTGAATGATAGACTAGAGAAAGTACAACATAAAGAATAACGTTAAAATTGGCAGAGTGCTCTGAAAAAATAAACAAAAATCATTACCTTTGTACAAGTGGGTTTTTATGCGCTTTGTCTGGGTCTGGTGACAGCAGGATCTTGTGTGCTGCGAAACATGCTCAGCAGAATAAATAGTCTCGACCCAGGTTCTGTATTAAGTCCTATCTCAAACCAATTGTCCTCACTGAAAAGTGACATCAAGTGAGTTGTGAGCAACTGATATTATGTTCCCATGAGATGAGGCCCAAACACGACTCCTGATGCTGGCACATTTTTAAAAAAAGTAGGATTTCAAGTGACAGCTCTTCCAAAGAATAATGATCAAGTGTTAGGATAGAGTCATATCAATGTCATTCTTTTAGGCAGAAGGTGATTTTTATGTCAAAGAAAGCCAAAAGCTTGCTGAAGTTCATACTGGTCTATGTCAAGTTGAGAGTTTTAACATCCAGCCTCTGCCCTATCCACACTTCAAGGATATTATTTTCCAGTCACAGTAAAACGTGAGGGGAGTTCAACATACAGCACTGGGCTTGTCCCAGCAGTTTACTTTCTGTTGGGCCAACATATATACAGATCACTATTAATCATACAATCCTTACTGGAATGGGGCTGAAAAAAAGCATCAAAATTGCCTATACTTTAATTTGTGTCTGGGCAGATCTGCATTTGATGTGACATCATCGGAAATGTAGAAAACGCTGCCACTATAACAGGTTTAAGCTTTCTCTTATCACAACAGCTCCTGTTTGCCAGTGCAGATGGATTTGGTAGAGGTGATCCAGCACAATCCACTATGGCAGCTTATTTTATCTAAGGTTCTCAAGTGCTACCAAAGTCTCAAAGAGGGGAAATCTAACATAAAGGAGACAGCCAGATGGGGAGCACACATCCCTGTCTTAATTCCTTCCCACATTTCCCATGTGAATGCCAGCTGCTCTTGTGATATCTAGAAATGCACTTCTAGGGGTGATGAGGCGCCTCCTGGAAGTATTCTGAGACCCAAATGGCCATGGGAGAACAATTGTCTCCTGTGAAGGTGCATGGCAAGTTAGACCACACCACAGTTCTCACCACCACAAGTAGCACCCACTGCATTGAACTAAGCACAGCTCTTACCAAAGAAATAATATACGTTGTGTGATCAAGCACTGCAAACTATTAATAACTTAAACAACGTGAGCAGTCTTCAATGCACATGCAGCTTGTGCCAGCTGTCAAGAAAACTGCTTTGAAATTAAAGTAGGTGTAGCTCCTGTATGTGTGACTAATATCTGCTGAAGTGTATGGGGTCATATCATTCGTATTCAAACTGAGCTAAATTGCATCCATTTTCTCTTTTAGCTAGAGAGAGGATATCTATCTCCTACCTATTTCAGTACAAGACACATGACTGTATGGAAGAAAATACCATTTTTAATTATGCATTAAAGCAGTTAACAGGAAGGGCTAAATAATCTGTTCTAATAAGTTTGCATCTGTGCTTAATATTTTGCAAAAGATACATCTGGTAACTATTAGAGACATACCTATATAGATGTATATAGATACACACATTGAACCTCTTTCTGTTGACCAGGATGATATGCACATTCATTTAAGTAATCATATAACATGTATCAACTTACTATTGTTAATTAGAGTTAATGGTACTATTTCTTACCATTGCATCACACCTCATACTACAGGGGACTGTGAAGTTGTGACCAGGCTTCCTACAGAAGCAGCCCCACTGCTGCGTGGTGCTCCAGCCCAGCCCACTTGCCATCTGCACTTGGGTAATGTGAGCTCTTCACGGCTGCTTGCTTTTTGTTGCAGAACTACACTTGCCCAGACTGTGGGAAGGGCTGTGTGCATCCTCCTTAGCTTCTTGCCTCTCAGGACAGAGGTTTCCAAAAGTAGGGCTCTACTAAAGTGGAAATGAGTGCTGTGGTCTTCAATTCCCTGGGCGAGCATGATAAAGAAGTTATTTAACAGCTCACGTGAAGGGACTAGATACTGAGAGCTTACCACAAGGTCAGGGCCGTTTCCTCCTGTACTTTCCCTTATAGTTTCCTGTAGTAACTCTTACATAATTTTTGAAAAGTCCAGTTGCCTAATTTAGGGGGTGGTTTCATGGATTTGGGTCCTGATTTGGCCCAAGCAGCCCAGAAGTCAAATACCTCTAAAAATATGAACCGGAGTGATATTACGGTCCCTTTGTAGATTCAGGACTTCCACTTCCTTTGGACTCATTGGCAAAAATCACATTTCCATCAGTGCTAGAAGGACTGTACCCATTTCTACTTAGCCAGCTGCCAAGCACTGTGCCTGCATAAGCCTGCAGAAATATGTGAAAACGTCTCTTGCTGATAAAATGTCCTAGTGAAAAGTTTAGCTAGTTTTGGATGAAAAATGGGCAACGGGGCATGGATTCTGTCAGCTACTTCCCTTATTATTGCAGTCTCCACCATCACACTTGCACTCTCTACACCCATAATTTTGCAAACCTGTGTAGATGATATTTATTAGCTAGCAACAGAAGCGAGATCAGTTATCTTTCATTGCCTGGTGACAATACAACACTGAAAGTAAAATAAATGGCTATTATAACTGTTAAAATACAAGCTACAAGTAGTTTATGCTTTCTCTATATAGTTTTAATTTTCTTTGAAGTTTTAGGCAACTTCTGAAGACAGTGTCTTGAATTTTAACAATGATCCACAATTTTTTTTTTTTTGTGCCACAACAAACTCAAAGTCTTTGAGGGCATACAGTAAAGGAAAAACTTCAGACAATAACTGGGTTTTTTGTAAGTACCAGTTCCTCATGTTTTCCTGTGGCACAAATTCACGAGGTTCATTAAGTAGTTAACCTGTACATTTAAAGTCTATCTATACTTCCTGAGAATTATTAACACCTGAAGCCTCACTGCAACTTGTTAATGGAAAATTAAAACAAACATGGAAAATTACTATGAGAATCTAAAAAGGCAACCCACCCTCCCATCCCTCCCTGTTGATTTGGATAAAAGGTACCTGATCTAAGTTGATAATTTCAGAATTCATGTACAAAACATGTACATACACAGTGGTGTATATAGATTCAATGGATAATGTGGCACTTGGTTGAACAGTGTTTCAACAACAACAGCGTGCTTTCTGAGAGAAGAGTTTAAGATCACTCAGTCAGTGGTCCTGTTTTCCTCCTGAATTGATGGTCAAGTATTGACCAGCTTCTCTGCAAACACAGCTTTCCCTCCAGCTACTTTCTGAAAAGTTATCAAACTTTTACTGTTGAATGTCTTCAATGTGGCTCCAGGCTGATCCAGAAAAGGCTCCCAGTGAAAGATGGACCTGTGACAGGTACAGGCTAGAGCCACAGCTGAGGAAAACACTGAAGCTAAAACCAATGTCAAAATTTTTTGATCCCCTGTAATGGAGAAGCAGTGCACTGTGTAGTCTATATAAACCTGCATGTACTATATATTTATTAATTTCTATTCATTTACTTACCTGTCCTCAAGAGACCTTCTCTATTCAGATTTTAAGGCAGCTTATTTAATTCACTATCAACTGTTGAGAAGCACCAAAAAGCAGAACAAATGAAATCACTTACTTTTGTCTTTTCCAGTTTGTAAATGCACAGCAATGGCTAGGGTAGGTGAAATTTGCCTCAATCAAAGATCTAAATTTGCTTAAATCAGGAAGCTTTTTTAAATTGTATGTAGACCTTGCTCTTAGCTTCTTAATGAGTTCTAATCCATGGCTTGGCAGGGAACTGATTCTTGTCCTTGAAATATCCCTTTAAGAAAACATGAAAATCTCAGTAAAAAGCAAATTTACTTCTGCTCGACAGTGGGTATGCATTTTAGACTATCCTACCCATTCTCAGATAGTAATTGGAAAGAGATCAGTTGAAAGTTTACACTGAAAGAGGATCCAGGGATAAATTATGGGTTCCTTCAAGAAACCTGAACTAATATCCAATGCAAACAACAATCAACCGATGTTAGTCTGGTCTGAGAAAAAAAAGAAAAAAATCCCATAACCCTCTGGGTAAGGATTAGTAGGGACATAAACTGTTAGTGCCATGTCTTACTGGGTTTGGTAAATAACCAGTACATGCAACAATCATCCCAGAATACTGTTACAGGATAAAAAAGGCTGATGAAATCACAACAGAAGTTTGTTGTATGAACATCATGTCATGCCAAGGTTGCTGTGGAAAGGGAATAAACACGAAGAGGCTCACATAGGGGTACAGATGTGAGGAGAGGTTGGAGATATCAGGTTTTGTACTCATTAGGGAGAAAAAAAAGATTAAAGAGAGACAGGGGTGATATGGCTCAAACTGTGAGGAACAAAAATAACACAACATTTCCAGAGGTTTAAGAAACGAAGAAAGCCCAGACTGAAGGGAATAAATGCACAAAATTACAAGAGGTTGGGAGAGATGTATTTATGTGGAAGGCAGTTACTGTGTGGGCAAGGCTATCAAGGGCAGCAGTGGAAGCTGCAGCTATGAATGTAATAAAGAGACCGTTAGTGGGGATTTTAAAAGAAAACACATTGTGCGAACACTGAATCCTGGCTTGTGCCATGCAGGTGAGGGAAGGGAAGGATCAAAGGTACTCCCTCTCCAGGGTAAGATATATTTGGCAGCCCATCCCTATGGCTCCAGGGTGTAACAGCTGGGGCAGAACGTCCCCACATTTCCCTCACTAGGGCACAAACTGTGTACATCAGCTCATGGTAGCAGGCGAGCAAGCTCCTTTCTCTTAAGAACAACAGCGTAAATAAATTGCACAAAATCACCCTGTCCTTATGGCCTGAGACTGATCCAGGATGCAGTGTTTGCTGAGGCTGCTTTGCTCTTTATTCTCCAATGAAGAAAGTAATTTTCCCTAATCAAGGAACTGAACTGACAGTATTTGTAATTTTCTCCATGAGTCCTCCAAGGTACAGTTTCCAATTCCTCCGTAACAGTACAATGTCAGGACAACATGTTATTTGATCTCTATTACCCAACATGCACAAATTGGTTTCATTATCATATTAATGCAATAGAGTGATGCCATGTGAGGGGCAGACCAGGTTTTAGCAGCATGTAATAAGACAGTTGCTATAGACCACAAGCACATTTGCACCTCTGTTCTCTGTTCTAAGAAACACGGTATTAATTTAATACCAGGAAATGGCTCTGCTTGAACTTATGATCATTAGTTTATGGTGGCCAAGTCTAACAAATTCCTAGACAGCTAATAAAGCAGTTAGTAAAATTGGTGTTGGGTAAAGATGACCTTTGCGTCCATGCTGTGCCCACAGCTGAGGCTTTGCAGCCAGGCTTTGCAGGATTACCTTCCCAAACTGGACCATGAACTGTGACAGCAGAGGAGCAAACACAGAACCCATTCCATTACCCTGACCTGGGGCCATGACTACCACTGGGATGTCAAGACAAACCAGTGGAGTCAGAAATGATTTGAACTTCTGCAGGTCAGGCTGAGAGAAGCCATGCTGTGGTCTTAAGGTTATTCTGGGCCTGACCTGTTTCTCCTAGGAGCTAAAAACTGCAGCTGAGGAGAAATTTTAGGCTATTGATTCCTGACTTAGACACTTGAAGAGGTAGTTAGGTTGCAACGAGCAATCTGAATTGTTTCATGGAGTGACTATTGCCCTTAGTATGCTGTCTAATGAAAACTGTCACCTAGAGTATATGCTCATGACTCAACAACTAAACAGCAGTTTTCTGCCTAAAATCCACAGACAACATCACTCAGGGCATCATTAAGAGCCTGTGAAACTTCACAGGGGCTCATAACTCTGCATAAGAGGATAGAAAATGTTTTCTTTGGCTTGTTAGCTAAGAATCTTTACTGAGTCTAAACTGTTATTACACTAAGAAGAAATAGCAAACAAATACGAATAGGAATATCACCTAGACTTAAAAATAGCTAAAATGTTACTGCATCTCTGGATGTTTCTAGCTAATTTCATAAATATTAAATATTTTTCAATTAAAATATTTTCTTATTATTTTAAAAAAATAATTTTTAATGCTCATTTTTGTATATAAAAAGAAGTGAGTTAGGGAAAGTGCTTTGCATATTCCTGTGGGCTTCTTTGCATGTCTGTTAGGGGTAGTTTTTGATACTGACATGTAGTTTTTGGACTGACAAGTCCCAGAACAGCAAACAGAGGCATTGTGCAGGTGTTACTAACTTATTCCACTGAGTCACATGCAGACCTCAGTGCAGAGGTTTTCTTTGGGACATTGCTCTCTATTTAAGAGCTTGATAAATTAAATAAGGTTGATGATAAAGATGATAAAGTGGCAGTAGGAAATCAAACCAGAAAGCATCAGTGACTAGAATACATGTTCGGGTATTATTATTGCTCAGCTGCTAGTCATCAGCCTTGACAGCAGCCAGAGAAGAAACAGCAAAATGAACCTGATTTCTCCTCCAATCATTTCCTTTTCCCATTGGGAGTCTCTATCGGATTAGCAAAAATACTGACCAGCTGATGAGGTTTGAAAGGCACATACAGAAATAGCAAGAAATGGCTGGCAGAGCAGAAATCAGAGATGGACAGACTGATCTGTGAGAACAATTTTCTCTGTGCTTATATCTAAACTGATCTCTGGCTGTGCTTCAGGCGCTCAGCTGTTGAGCTACGGATCGAGTGGAGCTCTCTCGTGGCCCCCACATGTGGGTTTACTATTGAAGAAAAATTGCAAGGATAGGATGGACCACAGCCATACTTTGCCCTTCATCCAGGTTAGGAGACAGCCAGAGAGTTCCTAAGGACTTCAGTAAAAGCTGAAGACTCCACTACAGCTCTGGGAGTACCAGAAGATGGTTAAATGAAACAATATGGATGAAAATGGAAGCTATGAAACTCCAAGCTGGAAATATAGTGTATTTATGTATAGAAAGAATATGTATGGTTTTGGGAGTAATTAGCTATTTGATTTACTTGCACTGAAATCCTTTAAGTCAAAACTTGATGTCTTTCCAAAAGAGATGCTCTAATTCAGCCAAGAATTGTAAGCCTCAGAGGGGAATTGATTAATGAAACCGTGCAAGGGCTGAGATTGGTCCTTTTTAACAGTATTATTTGTGTTTTTTTCCTTCATCTTATTTTAATATGCTGAACTAAAAATAGAAGTTGGTATTAATTCAGTGTAGAACACTGATTCAGGGATATCGAGAGTTAAAAAATCCTGATGTTCATTCTAATAAAACAGTGCAGATTGCAACAATACTATTTGTCCCAGAAAAGATATTATTATGGGTCAATCATTTCCACGAGTGAAAGTATCTTCCTAGAGTTCACAACAGTGATGGATGAGTAAGAAATCCCTTCTTTCCTCATCTCTGTCAGAATAAAAAGGTAATTTCCCATCTACAGAATACTGGATGTATTGGTAATGGAAAAGAAAACTTCTTACACAAATAACTTTGTGTTAGAAATTGAACTATCAAATGAATCTAAATGACAGCCAAATCAATTTGATAAACCTCCAGAATATGATTGTATCAGCTACAGCTTGCAATGAAAATGCATTTACTTTTTGCTACAGGAAACAGTGTTTTCCCAGAGAGACATCTATGATATTACTGCTGAAAAGATGTTCCACTGTCAGTCTTTTCCAAAGAAGGAAGGGTCTTTGAGGGAGTGATGGAAGTGGATTGTCATGCAGTAACCCATAGCTCTTTGTATCATAGGTGTGCTGACCATCACAATGTGGAAGAAAAGGCCTCCAGAAGACTTCTGATATGAAGTCAAGGTTAACCAGACATTCTTTGTTCCTCTTTTTAGAATTCTAACAATAATAACCTACCTGTAAAATCTTCCAGCAGTTCCAAAGACCCTTTTTCACCTTTTCTGGGTAAATCTTAGCCCTCTCTGGACATTCGGGTTGGAAAAGGGAAAGGGTCTGATGAATCGGTGAGGTGGAAAAGGACTCCCTGTGACACTCCCTGTGTCTCTGTTACAGCTCATGCGTGTTGTGACTTGAGCTCAGAAACACAAGCAGTTGTGACACTCACAGGCATTTTCAGACCCTGTGGCAAATTATGGGTTGAGGTAATGGTGGCTGAGATCCATGAGCACCCTATTGCTGAATTGTCTACTGCTGAGATCTTGCTTTCCAGTTTATCACACATCAAAGACATCCGGCTGTAACTGCATGAGAGATATCTCATACCTATCTTTACAGGGGATGGGACATCTCAATCCCTGTCCCTGTAGGGCAGGGATTTTATCTTCAGAATTAAGATTCAGAGATGCAGGGGCAGATCTTCACTTGTAAGCAATTCAAATTTAAGCACTGAGGACCCACCCAACTCTTCTTGCTTTTGTTTGAACAAAACACTAACAATGTTTTTTCTTTGGAAAAAAACAAAGCAGAACTACTCTCTTACAGAGCTTTATCAATGGTGGAGAAGAATCTGGATCTAAATCCTTAGATCCAAATACTCCCAAAAACTTGAGGACTAAATGAAAACATGGATCAAGACTGAAATTTCAGTTATGGCTTCCAGGATTTTTTTTCTTTTTCTTCAGAACTACACCTCTAGTTTTGCACTGAAACGTTTGTGACATATTGAAATCCATACATTCTTCTCTGCTCTTTTCTGGAGAGTTAATAATGAGAAAAATGATATTTGAATATTACTTACAAAACAACAGGTCCATTGGCTCCTTGGAAGACCTCATTTGGTAATTTTTCTAAGTTGTGATTGTCACTTAGATTTCTGAAAAATACAACAATATTTATCCTAAAACAGTCTGAGATTAAAACAATAACTTGCATCAGTTACTACCTTCTAATAATTGCTTTTCAGAATAGTAAGCAACAGAAATAGTTACAGCTCATCCAGGTAGGTTCCATTAAATGCGAGATTCTCAATTTCCCGAATCCCGTTTTTATTCAGCCATCTGCAACAGAGACAAAAAAAGAGCTGTGCTCTTATTCATGCTTCATATCCAAAATGTATGTAATTCAGATCAGTGAAAGGGATCTCAAACAAATGAAATGATTAAATGGCTATTCAAATGGTGGCATTTCTATGGATACTAGCTGGTAAGGTCCTAGTAGTTGGAGGAAGGCTTTGGAGAGTACTGACATGAATAGGACAGATGAACGTGACCATTAGAGATGACAGCTAGAGCAGTTTTCTGAAGCAAGGGCAGAGCTGGTGAAGACACTGGCACTGCTCGTGGCTACCCTGGGAAGGCTGTAGCAGAGTCAGTGAGGCTGCTCCAGGTTAATCCCAAGAGGAGTATGGCCAGGACCTTTCCTGCTGGTGTTCTCTGTGTCAGTTAGTTTTACTTTTTTCAAGATGCTTTTGAAACACTGGATCATGTCTTAAGCTTTGCCAGTTATTAAAAAAAATAGGCTGCTGTCTGTGGTGTTCTTGTGTCCCCAGCTAGGCAGGCAGAGGAGGAAGGCTGACCATCACCAAACCAGACAGGAGGGCAGGAGGGGGGTGGCAGTGGTGCCAAAATGCCCGGGAAGTGGCTGATTCCTCCTACGTCTGCTGCCTTGAGAAATTATGCTCCCTCTCTGCGTTGCTGCCCCACCTCCACCTCGCCAGCTCCCTCCCGCAAGAGGAGACATCGGTAATGAAACTGGGAATCGAAGCTCTTGGGGCTTTCCGCCAAGTTTTTACTGTAGTGTGTTAACTAACATTTAACGTCCTTCCCTCTCTTCCCTTCACGGTCCTAAAAATTTACATTTGGGTCAGTTATATTTATCATCTTTACAGTGCAATCTTTCATCTCGCTTTAAACATCACTTTGAAACTCACGCCCTCTCCAACAGGCAGTGGCAGGTCTGATGGATGGCAAAAATGGCCTGATTTAATTAAACCGTCAGCAAACCTGGACGTTTTGTTTCTAAATCACAGTGAAAGCTGAGCACGCAAGTGACCCACTTATCTAAGGACTGAGGTGGTGAGCTAAGGTCACTATAAAAATCAGTTATGGGTCTGGCTGAAAGGATTACCCTTTTGACTGTGACAGGCAGATGCACATAGCTCTGTGCCTGTAATGTCTGTCAGGTCAGATCAGGAGAGCTGTCACTGTCCCCTTCACTTGCAAGCACTATTAGACATGAATGAGCAGGCACAGAGGAGAGACGTGTCCCTGCTTATAGCATTTAAAGTATTTATTATATTACATTGATCTTATCCATTTGTAGCTGCCAGGCTGATATATATATGCTTTTAATCAGAGTGTTAACACTTCCTGCAATCTCTCACTGAACATGATGCTAACACAATGAGATATAAAGGTCATAAAATCAAAGCCACTCTTGCCATACTGAATGGACTATACACTCCTGTTTTCTGGCTAACTGCATTCTAATAGTAAAAAGAGAAAAAAAAAATTACCTAAATCTCAAGACCTTCTCATACTATATGCAGACAAGTTTCTGTTGAGACAAATTCTCCCCTCACTCCAACCAGCATGTTTACTAATTCCACCAACTCTTACATTAGCAACAAGTGACAAAGAAGGCAAAGATCCAGAGCTTGGGCATACGGGCTTTTATTCACCATTTCATGGCTACAGCATAATCCAAATTACTGGCTTAAATATGTTTGGAGCCTGCCACAGCTCAACCTGCTTAAATTGTGTCTCCCTAAAGTGTATGGATTCAATGGGTCCTGGGCATTTTTTAATGCCACCTTGACATGCTTGGTTTCACAAAATGGTGCCCCTGTAACGGTAACTTTGTATTGCATTGCATATTGACTTACGTTTTGTATAGAAAACCAACAAATTTGGGTCTAAAATAGGGACGTTCATCACTGCACAAGTAAAGCCTAACCAGGGACTCAAAAGAGCACACACAGAGCCTCTGCCTCAGGGGAGAACTACAGCAGTCAGGACATGGTCCAACCAGGCAGGTGGCGGCCAACTCTGCACAGTTCTTGCTGCTTCTGGACACACCAGTGTGAGTGGAGAGCCCATGGCAATGGGGCTGTTGCAGAATGCAGGGCAAAGCAGCTGAAAGAGGACATGATTCCCCCTGCTCCACCCCAGGCCAATTTTGCTAGCAAACCAGCAGCCTTAATTCCTCAGGGAGGACTATCCTTTGATACCCAGGCAGTAATCATAAGCAATAGGATGTTCTGCGGAGAGAGGGGAAGCCAATTTCATGACACTGAAGTGGCACAGAGAGGTTAAATTGCAGTAAAAATCTGGATTACTTATCTTACCCCTTAGTGATATTATGGAAACAAATTCAGTACTTGTTGCACAGTGCTCTGAAGATACAAAGTCTCATCTAAGTAGCAAATATTATTACAGTAGAAAAGATAAACCAATGCATTTGGGATATCATTACTTGAATATATATTTGAGAAAACTGTGTGCGTGTTTAAAACTTCAGGGAACTTGATGTAGACAGAGGTTGTGCATAACTGGTGGGGAAAAATGAGATATAACAGCTAAGTGACTTGTTACTGGCTTCTCTTTGAATATTGATGGTATGACCTTGCTCCCACTAAAATCAGTGTGAGCTCAATCAGTCAAACAGATCTTACTTGTCTACCTCAGTATGTGAGGTAAACTGCACATACACAGTAGGAAATTTTTCCAGTCTGGCCACTGGCTGGGTAAAATGAAGGCAGCTTGTTAGCAAGTAAACAGCATGGTTTGATATACCAACAGAAAAGATCAAGGAAACTAGATAGTTCATTAAATTACATGACTGCTCAAGTCAAATGCAGTCATCTAACCATGTAGATTGAAGCTGTATCATGAACCAGTGTGTATATGTGCATTAACATTGTGTACAAATATGCTGCATTTCTACAACATCTACATATATTTTGCCTGAGTAATAAAATTCTTTGAATGATGTGTCTGACTGTAAATATTTATGAGTTATGCCACCCTTTTGAACACAATTTGGATCACATGGAACTGTTGTTGTAGGTGGAATACGTTTAACCTTGCCATCAGTAATTACGAAATTTGCTCTATGCCGTGGTTCTAAAATAAAGAGCAAGACTAGAATACAACAACAACAAAAAACCTTGAAAGCATTCATTTTTCATGACAGGGAAACAGACTATAGAGATTCCAGGGGTAGAGGAGAAGTCTAAAACCTCACATTGAATTTGGAAGCATATGAAATAGTGTCAATCTTCTGGTTTCCTTGACCCTATTCTGCAAAAGCAATGAGCTAGCAAGGAGAATAATGAATTTGCTATGTCTTACTCACAGAATCACACTCTCAGAACTGAGGCCCGTGAACGAATTTCTTTCAATTGTACGTATATTGATATTATCTTGAATATCTCTGAAAAATAAAATACAGTAGAAACTATATCTTTTTGTACCACTTTGAGCCTTTTAATATGACACACTATTTCAAACAGTATTTTTCCTTATATTCAGTGTGAGGAATTATTATAGGTAATGACTTAACTTTTCAAGCCATTTTTTTCTGCAGAGGACAACCATCCTGGTAAAAAAAGCTGGAGAAAAACATTTTCAGCACCCCCATACTTTCCTCCCAAATAGGCTGAAGTTATTAAAATGCATAAAAGCTTGAGTCTTATAACCCTGAGGTGGATGAAATAGTTCCTCCAGCAAACATGCTACCCAGAAAATGCAAGCTGAGGGGCTGCAAGGCCACCCCTTCTTATAGCCTCCCAACCAGAAGAAGGAAGAACCATTAGCTTTTTTTGTCTGATTCAGCAGGGTACCTATCAGCCCACGAATCATGCCCCCGCCAATATCAACAGGGTTGCTTGTAAGATTTGTATGTGCTTAAGAATTGAAGATGCAGGACCCCTGTCAATGCAGTTTGTTGAACTGACAAGTAGGCATTTCAGTCTTTCAGCAGTTTTGACTGATATGAAAAGAGGCACCAGAGATATATGTTCTGTTGCTTGCTCGAAACAGACCTCAAAGAAATTAAATATTACTCATAATTTAGACTGGGGATATGGTTGTTCTCATGCTGTTTCTGTTGGAAAGCACAAAATGAAATTAATTATCTCCAAGGCTTGAAATGCCAAAATTATCCATCCACTATTATTCCAAAGTAGTTTCAAAATTGTCTCATGTTGATAATTGAATATGACCAACACTCTGCATTAAATGGCACTTGCATAGTGGCCTCATTCTGCAAACTCGGGTCAGGAGAGGTAGGAATAGTGAGGGAGTGTGGCACCCATACAAAAGTGTATCCCGCTGCTAAGGATCTGCATGAGCCCTTAATAAACATCAATGACCCATGAAGACCTATCCTGGAGACTGATATATTGTCACAAATGAAGTCAATAGGAATTTTCTTACTGACTTCAGTAGGGCCAGGTTTTCAGACAAGGTCTAGTTTGGGACTTGAGCAGTATCAAAGCCAAATTGTTCTTACAGGAAAGAATTTCATCTGAAAAAAAAAAATAACTTTTGCTCATCAGAACACAATAATTCAATTTCAGTTAAGACTAAAGATAGACATAAAGGTATACAGGAGGAAAGCTCTGTAGCTCTGTGTCTGTTGCATTTGTTTCATGCTTTTGGTGAGTCCTGAAGTGCAGTTCTCAGAATTATGTATGTAAACTGTATTACAGAGATTTCATCTCTTACATGCTTGTATATTATATTCAGGCATTCCCCTTTATATTTTCTATGCTTTTTAATTTATATTAATGACCATCACTAGGACAATTGCAGAATTAATGTTTCTGCAGCTTGAAATCTTCTAATCAAAGATTTGAACATGCAGAAATGTCTCTGTGCATTAACAACGTATCTTGTCCAAAGGAAGAGAAGAAATAATTGCTTATTCCCTGGGTTTTCTGCTTTCAATTATACCAAGAACTGATTGAAAATATTATGTCAAGGTCCTTTTCAGTGAAAATAAATCAAGCTTTTTCTGATATGCATTTTTAACAGAAAAATTCCTTTGCAGGATAAAAGAGCCTCCTTTCACACAATGCTTTACACAAATATTTTTTTTCCTGTTGGCACTGGAATTTTCCATAGAGAACCATAGTTCATTATCTGGACCGTTTTACTGCCAGTGAAAAGAAAAACCATGGCAGAGATATTTTCCTGGTGTGTTTTCTTTTTTTTTTTTTTTTTTTTTTTTTTGTTGTGGGGCTCTCTCCATGGTTTTTTTTTTTTTTTTTTTTTTTTTTTTTTAATGATGTGGTCACCTCTCCATGGAAAACAGCTCTGAGGCCAGTAACTCTTCCCATGCAGGCTAGACAACTGTCACCAGGTGGCAACAAATTTCTACTGCCATCAGGCTGGTTTGGATTTCGACTGGTGAAAGAGAAGTAAAAGTCCTCTGGGCCATCCAGGCATGCACTCATAGTGTAGTTAAAGAGTGGTCTGTAAAGTGCAAGTTATAATACTTTGTAGAAGGGAAACAATTGAGACCTTTTGGGCCACATTACCATCAATGCCTACAAAATTACAACCCAAAATGCTACTGTGAAGGTAAGAAGCAAACACAAGGGGAATCATGCCTTGAAAGGTTTTGTTGGAGCAGGAGAACATTCAGAGGGAGCTTTTAAAAAGTGAAAAGCAGGTGTTACAACTTACAGTAAAACTTTCTGGACAGAGTGCACCTTATGGACAGTAGGTAAAAAACGAATGCCAGTGTTTGATATTAACCTAGGAGGGAGAGAACAGATGGAGTTTATTTGCACTTCTCCAGGAACAAAGCAATAATTAACAAAGAAGAAAGAACATTGGACTTAAAATGGCAGCCACAAAAGGCAGAGTTCAGCCACAAACAGGGGATTTGTTCATAGAAAATTTGACATTGTACTGTAAAAAGTTTTCCTGCAAAGCACAAACTGAATTCTGCCCTGCTGAAATCAAGGGAGAAACCCTACCTTGGATAATTGCATGATTCCTCCTGATGATCTCAGGAAACTGTTGGTATTAATTTCCCAACCATATTCTAAGAAATCAACTGCATTGACAAAGGATAATTATTTTCATAGTAGCTCTTTTAAAACAAAAGTATCAATTCATTTACCATGATATTAACCTTCTGCTCAGTAGAGGATACATTAATTCCACAGGAAATAAGAAATAATATTATTTCATGAAAGTAAGAGAAAATTAGCACGCTTTATTCCCCAGCACATCCAACAGCGAGGAATGGAACAAATGGAAAGGTTTCAGCAGTTTGTGTGACTGGGAATGTGCCTTAGCCTCTGTATTTAACTACTTCTACTATTCCACCACACTGAGCTTCACTGGCCTCTGTGTTGCAATTCCTGCCCATGCAACACCATCCTAGAAATGCTGACTCTGAAGGACAACCCCGTGCCCACAGCCAGAGAGAAAACATGGTCACAGGTATCCACAAAGGTGTACCACAGCTAATTTTAGCCAATTTTGTTATCCAGAGCAGTATCAAGGGCAGGACAAACATGATATTGCCATGCAGCAGGAGATGGCTGGTGGCTGCCGATGGCTGGAAGGAGGGCTAAGTGCAGGAGGAAGAAGGAGCTGGACTGGGCTGTGCTCTGACCAGCTGGGTCTTATTCCTAGCCACCAAAATGTCTCATTCTGACTCTAATGAAAAAAAGGAGAAAATCTGGGTTCTTGAAAGTTTAGTTGTATCTTTGTATTTTTAATATTTGAGATGGTAGAGAAGTTAACCTTTTACTGAGAACATTGGCTCCTTAAGGAACTTATTAGCAGTATATGGAAGGTATTTTTTTCTGAGTGCTTAGAACAATATTCTTTCATTACTGGATATGTTTTTTTTTTAATTTTGTTTTGTTTTGTTTTTAGATTTCTTCTTGAAGAGCTGAATGGTGATGAAAACCACTAGATGAGACTGAAACAAACAGCGTTCATTTGATGTGTATTGTGAACCCAGATTATTTCAGGAAAGTTACAGCCTTTCAAGTTTCTTAATCTAAACTGAAACTGAACACCTCCATGTGACAAACAAATCTTACATTTGTGCACTCAGGGTGACACACAGATCCATAAAATAGTCATTCACCTGCGTAGGTGCTGCTCTGGGCTCCCTGAGGTAGTGTCTGGATATCCTCAGATGTTGAAAAGCCAACTTGTTATCTGTCTTGCCTTATGTCAAAAAGCAATGCATTATATGCAAGAAAAAAAATTAAAGAAATATAATGAATATTCAAGAAGCCAGTTTGGGAAAGTTGCTGAAATGCCACAACTGTTTCGTCTCAGGAGTCAGAGTGGTCTGACATTGCATTAGCTTAAAAAGAGCAGCTGTCACATGTGACAAAGAAAGCTCTACCAAAATACCTTTGAAAAAGTATTTCAGATAGTTAAATAAAAAGAATGATTAATGAAGCAGGTGAATTTCACATGGCCCTTGTTTAAAATACTTCTGCACTTATACTTTGTAAGAGAAGTTAGCTGAAAAAATTAGAACCAATAGAAGAAGAACCTGTAACTGTCCCTTTATGGTATTTTAAATAATAAAAATGCACTCTCTAAATTACTGCAGATGTACAACGTTTTAGTCAAAAGCTGCCTTTAAATGAGTCATATTCTAAAAATTCATGCAATTCTTTTTATGAGCCACTTGTTAAATACAAATTCTGACATGCATTTGCTTTAGGAGGTAAATAGAAAAGCAAACTGCTGCCAAATAGTGTGGCTATTGCATGACAGAAGAGAACACATGAAAAACTTTTCCAATGTCAGTTTACTCCCAACATATCAAAATGCCACATTGGTTAGCAGGGCTTTCACCATACATGTGTGAAAAAACACATGCAAAGCCTCAGGTGATGCCGTGGTTCCGATCTTCTCAGTAATCTCAAAGACTTCAGGGCTCAATTTGTACTAGTGTCAACTGAACAGCATGAAATGAAGAGGAAGCATCTTTGACAAATCATTATATATTGAAGTAAATCTACAGGTGGCACAAAGCACTGATTGTGCAGAAGCACAGAACAGTGATTAGGAGTAGGAGAGGATGGCCTCTTAATTAGTTGCAGAAAAAGAACTAAAAAAATATTTAGCTAGGCTGCAGCCTAGATCTTCCCTCTCCTTTTATTCAACCAGCAAACCTCCAGAGGCCTTTAAGTGGATAATCTTGTTAGAATGTAGATAATCCAATTTACAGAATATTTTTCCTGTAGGACAGTTTTGTCAATATATTTACCATATAACATATACATCCTTACTAGCTTCACTTTAAACAAGTGTCCTCTTTAATCTGTGTTATAACCGAGTCCCCCTTGCCATGCATAAACAGCTTGGTAAGAACCTGTTTTTCAGATGGCTGATGGCTGCTTTCCAAAGCATTAATTGTCTTTCTGAAAAGGCTTACTGGAGTCAGCACTTAAGAAAACACAGCACCATGATCAGCAGAGAAAAAAAAAAAAAATGTCAGAAACTAATTCCTGGAACATTCTGGCTGCTTACCTCCAGATATAGCAACATGTCTGCTCTCTTTTATGCCAAATTGGTAGGAACTACTCTGACAAAACTGGGAATGCTGTTTACCTCATCAACTTATTGTGGTTATTGGCTAAATTGCAAGCCAAGTTAGGCAGAGATAAATTCAGCATCACTCAGGAAGCAATATTTTTGTGTCTTTTTATCATGCTGGTCACTTTATACTTCACATGAGCCTGACTCCAGCAAGAGATTCCTCTGACTCATGTGCTCCAACCTTGAAGCCTAAATTGAGCCTATAATCCACAGCACCCAGTTCTGTGAGGCTGCCATGCAAAAGGAAGCTGTGGAGCTCTTCCTTTTATGGAAGACCCAACTCAAGGAAAAGGGACAGTGATTCTGTGGACTTACTGCAACTGCAGCAAGTACAGGCTTGGATTTCAGAAGCATGCCAGGAACACGCATGTCAGTTCCTCCATGAAATAAGATGAGGCACGTACAAGCAGCTGCAAGAGTTTGTAGCTGGGCTCCACTGTTCACAATGACAAACATTTTGCAAATAAAATGTATGCTTTTATGACCTACATTTCTCCTCACCTCCAACAATCCAGCTGTATAGCCACAAAATTGATCTGAAAGGAGTGTTACATTTAAATCTTTCTATTTTAAGATGAGATTACTTCATACAGGACATTGACAAATCCACTGTGTAAAAGAACCAAAGGACACACATTACACATGAGAACTAATTTTGGAAAGAAAATAGATTTGGAAAGCCATCACTACATTATTAAACAGACAATGCCACAGCTCTCCCTAATGAGAGCCAGATAAATAATCTTGTACCCATGAAAAGGTCAACAAGTTACCATTTTGAAGCAGTCTGTCTCATTGGCATATATCCAAGAAGACCAATTAACAATTCTCTTCACTGCTTCTAAAAGACTGGTGAGAAAGTTAAGGCTGCATTTCCCCCGAGGGTTTAGAGTATTCCAGCATCGCATTTTCTTAGCATTTTTCTCTCCTTGGTGTTTTTGCCGTGCTAGTAAAGATGATGCAGGAGACAAAGGGAGTGAGGTGGGTGGGAAATGTGTATGTACTTAAGTAGACAGAGATAAAAGCATATAGATGTGCAACAGCTAGCGGCTGTAATGAGCCCATGAAGCTGATGAGAGGACTGACAAGGCTAGCCAGAGCTTCTTGCCTGACCATAAATAAGACCTAGTGGCTATACAACTATTTTTGAAGAAGCACAGAGAAAACCTTCCAAACAATGCTTTGCCAAGGTCATTAAACTGATGGGCTATGGTGCCTAGGCTCAGTCCCAGGTACTAACACTCACTAATTTTTCTTTTTTAAATAAAAACAGCCAGTAAATATAAATTTTTTTGTGAGGTTTTCTGAACTGTGTTTTAAGTTCTGTCACAGCCACAGCACTGTCATGAGGAATCAGATCACATGTTTTGTACTCTGCCACACTGCTACCATGGCTGGAAACTTCAAAGGCACCATGAGCCCAGCAATGAACAAGTACCTGAGTGCCCCAGCTTTGGCATGCTGGTTGCAGCTAAGTCTCATTATACCTCTTCACACTGAGACACAGGGATGCATGTGCCAGCTCTTCTGACTGGTGGGTCAAACCAGAAGAGCTACACAGGTCTATGGCAGGGTCTGCAGCAGAAGGCTGGGGCAAGGACTTATCTGAGTATAAGACTCATTCTCCAGCTCTGCTGCCTTGACATAGACTATTTGGGAAGCTGGCATGGACCCCAGCTGGGGAAGAAATACACCACATGGGCAACAGGAGTATATCTCAGTGGGGTCAAAATTGGGTTTCCTTTTCCACTCACACACAACCCCACGTATGGTTGGACAGAATCTCCTAATTTGTTTTGCAACAATTTATGAAATCATTTGCTCTTCCTAAATTCTAGCTGTTAATGGAAGCATTAGGCTGTGATGTACAAAAGTTTGTTAGTTTCCCTTCATAGCCTTAAAAATTTTATTTCTCAAATAGCTGTTGATAGCATTTCTATCCACATAGATTCTAACCCTTTTCTGAATTATTTTAAACGTTAGTCCTATGTTTACTATCTTTTACTTCTGATTGTGTAAAAAACCCCACACTACCAACAACAAGAACTAATCAAAAACTGAACAAAATACCCATCAACCCATTAACTCCCCTCAGCATCTTGCCTTATATTTTCACTAATTGTCCCTTCCTCATATGTCACAGGAATGTGAATACCAGGATTGGGTTATCTTTACCAGCTGCTGTTTTGCAGCCTTCCATCAAAGTTTCTGCTTTCTCATAAAATTAACAGTACGATTTTTTCAAACGATGAAACTCTCTGTTTTTTGAAGGAGAGGTTTCTAAAAGAGCAAGCACCAGGAAGTAAAACAAGGGGATGGAGAAAATGTCAGTCTTTCCTACAGAAATATGCCAAGAGAGAGCATGAAGGTATGACTGTATGTAGAGATAATGACCTGACCATGATGTAACTTGGCATCACACCTAGTACTACATGAAAAGCTCCTACTGGGACTTTAGGTCCTGCTCCTGATCCTCGTGGTGTGAATTGATGTAGCTCAACTGAAGCCAAAGGTGTTGCACTGATTTATATCCCCAGGGCTGCTACCTCAAACTTTGCCATTAGTGTGCAAGATACATTCATCTGTTCAAACACTCAGAGCCATGAAGCCTGCACCTTTGGTACTGTTTATAATGACAAGAGGGTTTTTTTTTTTTTGCCTCCTAAAATGAAGGCATAGAGGGGATGCAGCCTAAATCCATTATGTAGTAAACACCAGAGATGGACTTTATAGATTTAAACTAGAGCCATGCTTTGACACAAGAATGAATGTGAATGATGTGGCCATGAATAAAATTGAAGGAAATTTTCTAGCTACCAAATTGTTCAGTTTCTGGAAAAGTCTCCCTTGGCAAAAAGAGAGAACACAGGGAACAGTGGAGAGCATAAAAAAAATGTTAATAAAGAACTTAATGGGATACATAGATTGGAGCAGTAGGAAATATGATAAAGTAGTCTGGGGTTCTCTGTGCCCACAAGAGAGAATACCTTAAAAAGTACTGAAAATATATTTTCCTCTGATTTCAGAGGAACTAGATAAAGAGGAATGGGGAACTATTAATTAAACAAGCAATTCTCTTTTTAATCTGTTAAAATTAATCTAAAAATGTTAAAATTAATTTAATCTGTTAAATTTAATCTGTTGCTTCTATAGGCCATAGCAGAGATGCTGCAGCTGAATTTTTGTACAGGTAGCATGTCTGAATGTTTGAGCCAATGTGTATGGGAGTGTGGAATGACAAATGTTCAAAAGACGGAGCATCCACTTAAGTCAGGAGAAAAAAATTCCACTACTTCAGACATTTAAAGACAGAATTTAAATTTTTTCTCACAAGACATAGTTTGTGTGTCCCATTTTAAAAAAAACCCACTGAAATTACTGTGTGTTCATTACTGTGCTTATATTTCTTGTTCTTCAACTGTGTAAGAGATAAATGTGCTCCTGTTCTTTCTAACCATCTGTACACCTGACAACTGTACTACCCACAGCAGCTTGTTCTGGGGATTTTACATGGGATAAAGAAATGTTGTGGTTTTGCACATAGGTAGCCAGAATTACTGAAAGACAGCAGTCACTGCTGAATGACTCAGGCTTGAAATCAAAGGAAAAAGGCATATGATTCCTCCTCACAACACTGTAAATTTAAAGCTTTATTTCCCCAAGAGAAAAAAAAAAAAAAAAAAATCTGTGTTTCAGCTACAGACATAAAAAAGTTAGAGTTTATCAACATGCCTGGTGAATTTGATAAAGCAGATATTAATAAAAATACTGGGGAAAACAATCCTACCACAATTGTAAATGCATACTGCAGTTCAGTGAGAGTTTAGACTAAGATGGTTTGTGTAACATTAAATACACCTTCTCTCTTGAAGTCCAAACCTTACATCTCAAATCTTAAAGTTCAAATTCAAACCAATGCCTCTAGGCATTTTTGAGCTCAGAACATGTCAGATGCTAGTGATTTTTACAGACCTTAAATGCTCATTAGCTTACTGGGAGCTATGCTTATTAGACCACTAACCTGATTTCATCCCATCTCAAAGAAATATCTAACCAGACAATTAAGCACTTATGCACCAAAATGTAAAAATCATTATCAAGCATCTTGGATGAGTAAGACTTCTCGTGTAATTAAGGAAAACAAGGTTAAGTATATGTGCTCAGGGGATGAGCAAGCTGATAACCTGCTGGGTTTATATACCATTGTTCAGCAAAGAACACCATGGGAGCTTATTTAAGCTATGGCCATTAAAAGCGGTTGCTGTTAAACAGAGTTTATTGGACTTGCTGGGGTTTCATGTAGAGGGGAGATTATTAGTCATGTTAAGATCACGTGCTTAAAGCTCTGAAAATATTTTTGGGTAACATTTTATTTTAAGGATGGATTCAATTATCACTGAATTGTGATGGCAACCCCATGGAGCAGATGTGGTTATCATGGCCGTGGAAGCGGCATTCTTGATGAAGCTGGCTAATGAAATAAAGCTATACCATACACCAATACATTTGTATTCTAAGGTTTTAATCATCTCACATCAAGCATTAATGAAAACCATTGCTAATGCACTGCTGTTGCTAAAGAAGAGAGAATTTGAATGCTTAATACAATTTCTATGAAGTATAACAGAATGCAGAGCCATAGCAAAGACAGATGAGAGAGATTTTGTCCCAAAGCTCTCAGGAGGAATTTCAACCTAGAGTTGTTTTTATGGACAGAAAAAAAAGGCCCCCTCCTTTTCTTATCACTCAATTTCAACCCATTGCTTAGAAAGGTTTAAGGATTTTATGTGTGTGAGTACTCCATGGAGGGCATTATCTTCAGCTTTTTTGAGGACCATGTGCAGACCTGAAGATGAAAATATGTACTGACTGTGCAGCTAGCAGGGGAAGAGAGGGCATTATCCTCTCTTATTACCAAAAGTGCTCAGCACAGCTTGGACAGGAACACATCCATATCATTCAAAATTACTATGGTACTAGCAAAGAGCAATAGATCTTACAAATATCTGAGGCTTGGAAGGTGTTGGAAGGCATCTTGATCAATGTACACGAGGTTGTTTGCTTTCTCAATTCTTCTGCAAAGAGAAAATGGAATATTAGAAGAAATATATAAATTATTGATCTTAAAATAGCTGTGGTTGCCCCATGATGCTGTGGTACTGTATGCTGAGATTTTCTTTTTTACAGCAGAAAATCTGCATGATTTCAAAGAGCAGCCTACCAGAGACTGGCAGACCTCACCACCTTTTGAAATCAGCAGTTGTTTGAGGATAAGTTTCAGGCTGACTAGGGAAAGAAAAGAACAGTTGGATAAGACAATGGAAAAGACAAAGGGGGATTTCAAATGTTTCTTTATTGCTATGAATTCTTCAGAGCTTACCTGAACCAAAATGCAAAACCTTTGATACTTGCCCATAATGAATCTTTATAATTGTCTCCTTTGAATTTAGATTGCTCATTACTTACATTTCATGTAGTTTGGGAAGGTTGGAAAACACGTTTGCTTCTATGACCTCCAAGGCATCATTCTGTGAGATCTCTCTGAAAAACAATTTAGAAGTCAAGATATTTCAAGCCATTGTCAAGCAGAGAATGGACAAGTGAAAAATTCACAAGGAACTTCTTCCTAGATTATTGATGAGTTTTAAAAATAAGGTGGGTATCAGCTAAGAAAACAGACCCCCAAAACATGAATGAGCTGCCACCAAGCCAGATGACAGATATCAGTCAGGAATAGATATCTTCTGAAGCTGAAGTCTGTATCTGTAAGGACAGTCTTGCACCTCCTACCATCACCATTCCCTGTATATTAGATGGCAGGACCATCCATCTTTGGCTGTTGGATCTCTGACACCACTAATTATTGTACAGAGATTTAATGAAACCTTTTAAACTCAGTGAAGAAAAGAGGGTGGCTGAAATAGAGAAGGGGGCTAAAAAGTTCCCAAGAAGTAAGACATAACTCCAGAAGCAGGACATGATGCTGTCTTGATCTGATGCAAGTTACAGAGTTTAAAATTAAGACACCTGCATACATATTCTTATTATCAGGAGCTGGAGATCAAAAATGTGAAGAGAAAACCCTATTTTAGCTCTTTTGTACACAATTAACACCCAGTTCCAGTCACAGAATAGCAGAATAAAAATTACCACTTTTCTGTTATCAACACATCAGATTATATCTGCTACTGGTCCAGAATACATTTTTTTCCCTCCTTTACTCTGTAGGATGGGAAAAAGATGGTGTTTTGCCAATAACCAGGCCCAACAAAAATGATAACACCAGCAGGGAGATGAACCAATATGCAGACTGTATTGTAGATAGAAGTGTTACTATATGAATGACCGCCGGGGGTACAAACAGGTCAACAAGCTCATACATGATCGACACCACCCCCAACGATCCCACAAATGACATGACCCGGCCCACAACAGGTGGTACAAACAGTGAACTGAGGTTGCCCATAGTTGGTATGGGAAACAGCCAGACCAGACCAGCCAGTTAAACACATAAGAAAAAAGGTGCCCACATGGCGACTCTCACCCGATCGGCCTGCGTTCACAAAGGTCTTGAGCAGACTGGGGCCCAGCTCCAGGGAGAGTCAGGAGGTCTGCCCTGAACCAGGAAGCTCTGTGGAGTGCACTCCACAGACAGACACTCCTGACTCCCTGCAAGTGGTCCCAGCTTTTATCCCCAAGCAGACACCTGACATTTGTCAACTCAATGCGGGACCCCTGGGGCTCATTTCCCTTCTGGCTCTCCCTGCAGGGCCGGCCGCACCCTGGGGGGAAGCTATAAGGCAAACTCATCTCCTCTTTGTGAAGGACTGTGGGAATCACCCATATGTCAACCTTAATTTGGGGGCTCGGGGTTCAAACCCCAGCATTTCAGATGGGTCTGGTGTAATTTAGAGCTCAGGACTTCTGGTGAATCAAGGGGTAATTACTGCCATGCAACCTGTCCTGATTACTTCTCTTATTCTGGCAGTGACCAGGAAAGTTGAGGTAAAGACAGCTATGCCAAAAGATTCCCCACTACCATTTTTGGAAATAGCGCAAAAATGCTATTTCTCAGGCTGAGTTCAGCTGTAAGAAGTAAAATTTCTAATACTGATATAATTTGGTGATAGTGTGATGGTATATTGGATTTTAATGGCAAGGTAGCTGTGCACATCTTTGGAATGGAACCTTGGATAAATAGACAGATTACAAACTGACCAGCACTTATTCCTGGATATCTTGTCCTTTTGGAATTATATTGGTTTTGAATAGGCCTGAGGTAAAACAATAGATCATAACGATAGGTGCAGAGCCACAAAAATTATTACAAGTAATATAAAAAGTATTCCACTTCCTTCTAACAACTGAACCATACCTGACAAATTACCTGCCCATTTAAGACAAACAAAAGCCTTTCAAAAGAAGATAAGTTGCTTATCTGACCTTCTCTGCTTTAAAAAAATGCCTCGGTGGTTTGATATTTTTTATTTTAATAAAAAGTTCTCCCTCCTGCTTCCTCAAGGTTTTTACAGAAGAAAACCCACCTCTCCTCTACTCTGAGAGCTCTCTACTGACTGAAGAATGGGAAAATAAAAGTATATGAGGATTGACAACAGGTGCTCAGTAGGGTAGGATGAGAACTGGGTTTGTTTAGCAGTGCTGAACCACTAACCATATGTGAACAGCCAACTACCATATGTGAACAGGTTCATCTTTATTATTCAGGTTTCAGTAGCAAAAAAAGCTTTGACTGAGTCTGGGATTCCTTCCTGCCATGCAAGGTACACAGCCATTCAAGGGATGTTTCAAAGAATTTTGATTGTCTTCCTGTTTTCCTAAAAAATAATGCATTATAAGAGACTAGAAGAAAACATTCCCTATACTGCATTTATATGACACTACTTGCTTAACTACGGTTTAGAAGATTTAACAACCTGCTTTGACTTTGCTTGTGCTCCTTTTGGGCTGTCAGCAGTATATTTGCTATTCCCCACAATCTAAAAATCAGTTGCCTAGAAAAAAAAAAAAATCACAGAAAGAGCAGAAAATTTAATACCAACAAATCCATTTATCCAGAAGAGATTTCTAAATCTCTAAAATCTCTAAACAGCCCAGGGGAAAAAAATGTTGCAGATTTGTTGGTTTTACACAGGCAAAAGAAAGTTTATTAAGAAACCATGATACAGTAGTGACCTCATTTGACAGGTAGAGCTGTTGAGGGTAATAATTTTTTATGATCAAATCTGCTACCTAACTTTGGAACAACTTGGATGATACACCTCTTTTAATGGAATGCTTAAAACTGGATGTTTCTGCATCAGGAGAGTGTTTTGGCTTGCTAAGAGTGGGATGAGTTATCAGCTTTGTTTCAGCTCTAGTAATGAAAGATAAAGATCTGATTAAAGTAGGGCACAAGCAGGCCACGACACTTTGGACACTCTCCATGCTTGGAGAATGCATGGTTAAGGAAGGAATGAAAGAGAGGCAGTAAGATAGGAATCTCTAAACTGTTTTTACAAGATGAAATTTTAAAAAGAATTAAATAGCACTCACAAGAGAGGGATGATTCAGAGATTTGGGAAACGACTTGGCTTTCATTCTAATATTCCCATTCACAGGTACAAAGGCAACAGTATTTTTTTTTTTTTTCTAAACAGGTAATCAAAATATGTCCATTTAAAATTATTTTTGCTGTCTTCCGGCTCAAGCAAAAACTACTGCAGTGGTTTTGGTTATAAGCCTCTCAAGACAAGTAAAAGAAACAGAAGGGAAATTCATCAATGGCAGAATGTCCAACGTCTGGTGTTGGACTTCATCTTCTGTTTTAAGGGCACTGGAGGGGGTGAGGGAAAAGGATAAGACCCTCTGTCCCCCATGAGCTGTGCATCCTCTGATACACTCTCTCCAGGAAATTTGTTGGTGGTGACCTTACTTATCATTGTTCTTCACAGATGAATTCCAGTTTACAACAGTGAAGTGCTGTTTTCTGACAGAAAGCCATTTTTATTCTTGCCCTTTGGAGTGTCCATATACCTGTTATGGGCTGTCATTCAGGTAAGAAGGATAAATTTTAAAAAGAAAGCAATATTGAGTTTAGAAGATCAGTCAAACAAGGTATACAACAGGCAGCACTGGTCTGGGATCTGGTTGCATGTTTTGCGTGAACCATTTATTCATGCCTGGCAAAAAAAGCACACCCTGAAAACCAAAAGAACACTACCCTTCATATAGGTATCTCTGGCATTAAAAGCATGAACCACTGCTGCTCTCATCAATCAACTGAGTCAGCAAAGTCAGATTCTCTGTAGAGGAGAGCAAGTAATACCTGCAGCAGCAGCTACAAACAAAAAAACCCCAGGGATTTCAGGCTAGTATTTGTGCAAGTGATTTGTCTTACAGTATAAACACAAACAAATGATTGCTTCTAATGCATATCTTATTATATGTCATCACGAGAGAAGATGAAACTGTTATTAAATTGTTTGCTTGTAAGAAATGATACTGTTAGCTCTACTGCTAGCTACCACAGCAAATTCAGACCACAATTTGAGTATCATTTCTGATGCATACAAGCCTTTGAACAGATAGTATGCAAAAAAATCAGGGGCAATTTTCTGAAAAAACCCCAAAACTCTGAAACCCCAAACCACCCAGTGGTTGCAAAGTGTTTAGATATCTGCCTGGAATTAAGTTTCCACTGCATGCATAGTTCTATAGAAATCAACAGTGATGCTCAAAAGAATAAATTGTTTATTGAAAGACAGACTAAAAGAGGAAAAGCTAGTCAGCAAAAATACTTTACAAAGGCATAAAAGATGATTGTTTTTAATTTTATTCAAAGAGAATGTAAGACTTTGGGATGTGACATCATCCCATGACTAAGGATTTTCCTCTAATTCACTACTAATAGAGCAAGCTGTAATTGTTATTACCTATTCACAGGCAACTGACTGCAGAATTGCATTTCCATGTGTGATATCCAGAGCCAGTGACATTAAGGAGTAAGTGGGAAAACAAAGAGGAGGAGGAAGATGCTGCCTAGTGGCAGTACAATCCTAGCTCAGCGTAAAGCTGCCTCTAAGCTTTAAGGATACACCCAAAGGGCTGCGGAAACACCCTCACAACATCTATGACAGAGCCCAGTATGAAGTGATGGAAGGGTTCCTCTTCAAACCAGGGGCACTTGAGGAGTGAGCCATAAAACTCAAGATACATTGAAATGGCCTTTTAAACAACCCTATTAGCAAGGAATTTATAGTTCATGGCACTTTCTTTGTTGTCCTCAAAAGAAGAAGTCTCTTAGACTAATCAAAGTCTTACAGCAAAAGCAAGACTATTAAACTCACAAACTAGTTGTCACGCAACCAAGTGGTCTCATATTTCAAAACAATGAAAGAATAAAAGACTGGACATTAATATGTCTTATATGATAAGAAAATTATTCCCTTCAGAGTCAGAGCAGAGCACACAGACAGAGATAGGGTCCTTTTTCCCTTCTAGGAAACGTGCCTATTTAAAACAAATGTGTGCATATGTATGTG